AAAAGTGGACCACTTTTAAGACAAACAGTTAATCATGGTCACAGCTGAGGTCCCTGGAGCTCTGACTGGATGTCAGGCCTGTTCGGGGCCTGTTCATGCTCCACTCGTTTAACTCCCGCAGCATCCCAGCGTTGTCAGTGTGCGGACTTGTGGGATTGTCATTTATAGTGATGTCTGAGCGACAACATGGAAACGTGAGTGCTGATGAAAGAAGAATTCATTCTAGCTCTTGAAATGAAGGGGCACGCACCTCACACAGGACCCCGTGGGGCTGCAGCAGTGTTGTCAGCACCAGGCAGGGCGAGGACAGGCCACGGATTTTATTGGGGTTTCTGTGGAAAGGAAAGGTGGGGCAGAGTAAACAGCATAGGAGTGGCGAATCTGAATGTTTCTTGTGGACTCAGAGCCATTAGGGACAACTGTCCCTAGTTGCCTGGTGTCTGTCTCTGGGTTTATTTAGGGCAAAAGAAGTATTGTGTTGGTATGTGAGAGTTAAAGGAGGTGGTTGGGAGTATGGCTTTGGGCTGGTTGGTTTGCTTCTGAAATGGGTGCTCCTAGGAAGTTGATATTATCTTTAGTGGTTAGATAGGCCTGAGGGGCAGAATCTCCAGGTCTACAAGCTCCCCAAAATATGAAAACATAAAATAATGGAAAGAACTTTAAAAACATGATTAATACAATTGGTCCTCTGTTGTTTTGTCATCATATTAAAGATCGTGGTGATGATAGTGGAGGTTTTCTAAAAGTATGGTATATGTTGCCCTAAACAGTATAAAGTCTAAGAGGCATGAGAAGAAGTTGCCAAAGTGTCTTTAGTGAAGGAGTCTCTGAGGGCACTGATGATTTTAATTTGGACAGATTTTAGATTCATTTTTTTCAAGGGAGCCTCACTTAAGGTGGGCTGATTTGTAAGTATCACCATCAGTGAGACATAGAGGAGTTTATAAGTGAGCAATATGTTGCCTCTCAAACCTCAAAAGGACTAAAAGATACTGGACTTATGTATCTATAATAAATGTGTCACATGAATCTCCTTGGAGGAGGTGCTGTCAGTATGATGTCCCTGTGCAAGGGCAAAATACTTACCGATTGTTGATTGGATAGAGTTAGTAACTTTAATAATATTGGCATTAGGACTGTGTTAGCTCTGGCGGCCATACAAAATACCATGGACTACATGACCTAAACAACAGAAATTTATTTTCTCACAATTCTAGATGCTGGAAATGCCAGTTCAATGTACCAGCCAATCGGTTTCTGGTGAGGGCTCTTCCTGACCCCCTTCTTGCTGTGTCCCACGTGGCCTTTCTTTCCTTTGTGGCTCTCTGAGAGAGGTCCTGTATTCCTCATCTAAGGACACCAGTCCTATCAGATCAGGGCCCACCTTAGGGCCTCATTTAACCTTAATTACCTTCTCGAAGTCCCTATCTCAGAGTACAGTCACTTTGGGGCTTAGAGGTGCGGCATAAATTTGAAGGAACACAACTCAGTCCATGATGGGACCGTAATGGATGATACCACAGCATTTAGGTGACAATAACCCACTATGAGGTGCCCCTTATTTTCCCCAGGTTTAAGAACAGAGAGAACAGGGTTGTGGAATAGAGAAGCATTGAGATAATCACCCCTTTATTAATTAGGTTTTTTATAATTAGCGTCAGATTGTCTATGCCCGATATGGGGTATGTTAGAACAGTGGGTGATACAGCTGTGGATGTGGGGCTTCCCTATTTCTTGTCTATTTTATGTTTAATCACTTTTTAAATTTAGTGAGATTCCCAGGTATAAATATAATTTGAACTCTAGCATTGATTAAATCTATGAAGTTTTGTCAGTGCATTTTAGCAAATTCTAAAGTTAATTTAGAGCCTGTGTTGTACAGGCACAAAAGCAAACTGG